TAAAATTATAATACATGAAAAGAAAAGAAACAAAGAAAGTAATAAGCAATAAAAGCTTACACTTATGAAAGTTATACATGTTGTAAATACTCATACTTCTTTGAAAAACATGTTAAATAGATTGCCGCAGGCAATCAATGTTACAGTGTTTAATTTTCACAAATAACATACAACTATTTCAAAATAAATGTAATTTAATATAATTTTAAAACAATTCAAATCATAATAAAAAAGGATATGAAAAGTTACTGAATACGTTATTATATTACTTTAAATTTTGAACTCACTTTGAAACTTTGAATGTTTTTTTTTCGAATTGTTTGTATTCATGGTGTACAGGGTATTAATTTTTAAATTGTAAATTCAAAATTATGACACCACTACATTATTTTAAATTTTTAAAAATGTTGTAATATTTAAAAGTTTGTAATGTTGAATATTTGATGTTCTTTTTTTTTATAAATATACAGGGTGTGTCACAACTCGCGCCCCAGAGAAAAATTTCAAGTTATATAAGATACCAGGAACATGGAAAAAGTGTTTAAAAAATTCTATCTGTCAAAAAATTTTGACATTTATTTTTTTTTCATTTATTTTTATGTCTATTTATGATACTGGTGATCTTGTATGTAAATGTTTTTTTGATAATTATTTAATAAAGGTACAAAAATTTGGCCCATAATAGCCATAAATAACATTAAAAACAAAGTTACAATTTACGATACAGCTTCCTTGTCTCTTCTGCTAATAGCCTGTAGCAAAAAAACTTGGAAAATTATTTTATCAACAGAAATATATACTCGTAGAGTCAAATTGTTATAAATTGTTTTTTTTTTCATATCCCTGGTATCGTTCTCTGGGCGCGAGTTCTGGCGCACTCTGTATATGTACACTAAAAGAAATTTGTGTAAAAACTTATTATTAAATCTCCGCTGTTGTTCTAATATCTGGTCTCACTTAGGCACAACATAATTTTTTTGTGAAGATATCCTATTGCAGTTTTGTAAACAGCTGCACCAAAAAATGCTCTTAATTCAGTTGCACACTTATTTTTCCTTGCCTTGTATTATAAAAATTAGAAAAATTCAAATCTTTTTTGACAATAAATGTAGTCAAAATCACTTTTTAAAAAGCGGGAATATTTAATGTGATTTTTTCTGAATTTTTCCTAAATTATTAATGGTTTTATAATCACGAAGTTAGAATTGTTGTATTACAAATTAGTTGACAATGATATCTCACAGATAAAGAATCTAAAGCAGATTTATAATGAGAAACAAACGATTTTTTAATGTCGATAAAAATGATAAAATTTTATTGACACTCAATCTGCGCTAGATTTTCATTACATTAGTAGACCTGATGATACACGTTTAGTTTCAAAACATCAAAACTAAATGGTTCAGTATTAGAATGTCGCATTACAGGGCATGTAAGGTAAAGAAGGCAAATTAATAATTAATTGGTTGTTAATGTGCGATTAACACGTGAATCTGAACATTTGGTTGGTTCAATTTGGTCACGTGATCAGTTAATCTGACATTTGATTGCAATTAACTTAATGACGCTTCTATAAACCGACCCCTAGACTTTAGTTAAAAAATGATACAATTTCGAAAGATTATTTTTTCTAAAAAAAAAACAGGAATATGGTCAAACTTTTATCAAAATATACTTTTTGTGACAGGATGTCTCGACTAAAAGAGTAAAATTTTTGTGTGGCTGAGCCGGCGGTTCGTCTTTTTTCTGTAATTATAAGGGCAATTGTTTTTATTGAGCGCTGACCATCTGGTTCCTGACGTCACGATGCGCTCTGGACTTGATTAATAATGAATGCATTTCGAGCGGTCGGGTCGGCAGCTCCAACAAGTGAAGTTAGTGAAACGCGCCCCAACACCAAAATGGAAATTCTCACTGCTTTCCTATTCATGACCGGTCCCGATGTGTATTTCCTCCGATATAACAAGCGAAATGTGTTATTCCATACAGAGGCGAGCGTGCATTGTGTGCGAGTTACGCTACAATGATTTTATTCCGTCATTAAGCCGCCTTCACACCGATTATTCATCCAGTTATTTGTTTAATTACGTAATTAATAAGTCACATAGTTAATGAATTCATCTCGTCGACGGCCCGACAACTAAACTCACACAGTTTACAATCGCTACAGTAAATATTTATTAATATAATAACACCTGGGGCGGCCATCGGTCACGCGATCGCTTGCCTTATACGGAATTTTATATGGTGTGGACGCGACGATGACGAGACCTTCGAGCCTTCGTGACGAAAACACTTAATGCCATCCGAAGCCGGAAGATGGACAATCACAAGGTTTTTCAACGGACCATTGATAGGGGAGTCTTATTTATGAACTGTGCTCCACCAAAATTGAAAAAACTAAACTACTCAAACATTAATATCATCATCAAGATCATTCCGCAATATAAACAACAAATATTAAACAAAAATGTTTACCGGAAACCGGAAGTTTTGTTCCTTTGGAAAAGCACAGGAGATACATTTTTCTAGAGGTCACGCGACACACATCCAGTACTACTCATAACTTATTAAAAACATTAACTTGAAATGAAAGTCACCGATAGACTTAACAAAAAGATTTAGTGCTTAACTCGATTTTACTAAAATGGCACTTGAGTCTTACATACTTTTTAAAAAATACAATATCAACAACAATTTTACGTTCATTTTAAAATTCTAGTCAGAAAAATTGAGGAAATTACCTGTTTATGTTTTTCTCTGCTCTGTTAATAATTTAATTTAATAATTTTATTTTGAATAATCAATAATTACTGTAAATTAGGCTTCACATTTGATTGTAGCGTAATTACTCACTGATTTTTCTCACATTAAAATATGTTAGAGAACAAGTATATAACACAGGTCTTTTAGTACTATTTTTTAATTTTTTTTTAGGGTCAATTAAAATGTTATTTTGTCAGTTACTAATTTATTCCATTTCTAATTACCAAATAGTTACATTTGTCTTTGGAATGATATCAGACTATTTTAAAATGACTATTCGCTTTGAAAATAGAATTAGGTATAATACAAAATTGTTTTACTCTTACATACAGGGTGAATTTTAAGTATGGAAAATAATAATATAAATTAAAGTAATGTGATTGTGTTTTGGGAATGAAATTTTGTTTTGTTTTTGAGTTATGCGTTTTTTTTTATTCAAAATGGCAACTTTTGTAAAAAGAATTTTTGCCAAAAATTAAATATAAAGTAGATGGTTGTAATTTTTAGATCATAACCCTTATGAGAAAAATGATTTTATAGTAGGTTGTCATTTAAAAAAATTAAAAATTTTGCAAAACTCTAAAACAAAACAAAATTTTGAAAAAATGTTATTCCTGATAAAACGTTGTATGTTTATAGTACTTTATCATTCATCAATTAGTTTTTCCAAAAAAGTTTAAGCAAAAAACGGTTGGTTCCATACTTTTTAATCACCTGGTTAGTATATGTAGTTGTCGTCAAACTATGTAAATCATATCAGTGCTAACACATATAGTAAATTAAATAAAACACAGTTTTCTTAAAGACACTTGCATTTATTAAAATAATTTTAATGTTTATATTAGTGGTTATTCGTTTAGTTTAGTTACAACCTGTCATAAATTTGCATACATGCACGTTCGAAAACATTTATATTAATCTGAGATCAAAAATTGTCTTTACGATAGATTTTCAAAATTAAAACACTTTGTTTGATTCATATTTATTTTGTTGACAGGTTATATTTATTGGAACACTTTTTAAAAAATAGGTAATGCTGAGTAAAAAATAATTTTGACTTATCCATTATACTCAAATGAGAAAAAATTATGGTTTAGTTAACTAATTATATTTTTTTACTTTGGTTTAAAATAAAATCATTTAAATACATTTAATCAGTAAGGCTCGGATTATATGCACGAAAAATACGAAAAATTCGTAAAATATGCTCATATATATGCACGTATTTTCTCAAAAATATGCATAAGATATTAAGAAATATACTCCAATATATGCCAAATATGCATTGACATGCAAAACTTTTAACAATAAAGAATCAAAGTTGGGATAAATTTTTATCCTCGAGTATACAAGACTTTGTATTTTCGGTATCTTGAATTGCACAGGATGAACAAAAGAAAATAAATAAATTGGTTTTGCCTCAGACAAGCAGCCATGTTAATAACCTAGTAATTAAGCTTTTCTAAGAAATTTGTACTTTTCAGATCACATCACTTTAAACTATTTCGCTAAAATTTACTTGCAGGCAACTACTTATTCGAATGGAAGGATTATAGCCATACCGGGTGAATAAAAAGTATAGAACCAAACGTTTATTTATTTTTTTATATTTTAACAAAAAAAAATCGCGTAACTTAAAAAGAAAAAAATCTTTTCTCAATATACGATCACATTTTTTATATTGCTTTAATTTATTTTAAGTATTATATTCTAGCGGCAATTTATTTAAAAAAAAAACGCTTAGTTCTATACTTTATATTCACCCTGTATAAAACGAATTCATAAAGGAAACACTCAGCAGGACACTAATTCTTTGAGTCCGGCTTACGACTTACCGGTTGTTTTTTTCTAACATATCTTGTAATCGGATCTTTTTTTTAACTGTCTAATTTTTAAATTGAACTGAAATTCTTAATCAGAAATTTGTGATTTGAAGAAATATGCTCAAATATGCAATATTTCTTAAAATATGTACGAAGTTGTCAAAATATGCATCAAAATTGGCCTATTTTAATCAAAAAACATTAGATATGCATAGAAAATTTATAATTTTGTTGATATACCTCTTAATAAAAAATATGCATTTTGCATATAATCCGAGCCTTATTAATCAGTAAGTATTTAGAACAAATTTTGTTTCATTTAATATTTCTGTTAATATATTTTTTTTTTTAATTTCATAATCATAGCGCAGGCTACAGATTGCGAAAAAACATAAAAAGTAAAATCCTTACCTTCATCTTGATTACTCCCGACCAGGATCTCCATATCCTCGTAATCCCCTTCAGCCAGCATATCCATGGGATGCTTGGGCATAAAAACCCCATCCACTGTAGGCGTCGAGGGGAATCCCAAAATCCCCGAATACGAATTCCACTGTTGCAAGGAAATCGTCTTGGCCTCCACCGCCCTCATACAATCAATGACCTCATGCGGCCTCGACTCCAACAACGAAACATTGCATCCACAATCCTCCACCAGCACCTTCCCAATCTGCTGCGCCCTCTCCCCCGACATATAACTCCACGGGGCGTTCATAGTCCCCGACTGCAAAATCCCCCTCCTGGCCAAGCCTTTAGTAACTGGACTCAGAAGGAGGATGCTGACGGAGCCGCCCCCAGCCGACTCACCAAACAGAGTGATGAGTTCGGGGTCGCCCCCAAACGCTGCTGCGTTCTCTTTGATCCAGCGGATGGCTAGGGCTTGGTCCCACATGCCCATGTTGCCGGGGGCTTCCTCACTACCGCGAGGGAAGTACTTGCTCAAGTAGAGGAAGCCGAAGGCGCCCACGCGGTACTGCATGGAGGCGACGATGACGTCGGAGGTGGCGGCGATGATGTCGGCGTCGTAGATGTCGAGCGTGGAGGTGCCACTCATGTAACCCCCGCCGTAGATCCACACGAGGACGGGGACTTTGGGCCTCTCTAGAGGAGGCTTCTCGCCGTGGTGGCGGATACGCAAGCGCTGGGGCACCCAGATGTTGAGGTAGAGGCAGTCTTCGGAGATATTCGTGTTGGGGTTCCACATCTCTTCGCCCTCAAAGCCGGGGAAGTACTCGTAGCGCTCCTGGACAAGGGGAAACAGTTGCAAAATTTTCCGAAAACACCCAAAATGATATTTTCATAAATCGTCTCTTACTAGTTTAAGGTAATTTCGGAAAGGAAAAAATTTTGAGTATGGAGTTTGAACCCAAAAACATATTCTGGTTACGTTTATGAACACAGGGTGGCTCAAATTAGGCTTCCTCGCTTAATATCTGTTATTGTTATTGTTCGTCGAAGAGTCTTATTTAAGACACACTGTGTACTTGGTTTGAGTATATCTATACACAACCAGGTGGAAAAACATTAAGGTTGTTTAAAAATACGAACAAGTTTTTTTCTTTGTACAGGGTGGCTGATTTCTTTTTTATGACCGCTTTGATTTATTTTTATAATATTATTATTTATAACGTCAATGATTTTTAAGTAACGACGTTATCACTATATTTTTTAATGGCAACCAACATTTTTGTTTACTGTTTTTGGCATATTTTTTTTAAAAGATAGAAGAATAAGAGGAATATTCCTATTACCAAAAATAGTCTACAACAAAATTGTTAGTTGCTATTAAAAAAAAATAATGATGACGTCATTACTCAAAATCTAATGACGGCATAAATGTTACAATACTGTCAAAATGTAGCATTTATAAAAACAAAATCGACTCGTTAGAAGATTTTTTTGAAAAATGACCTATAACAAAAATATGAATTTTGTGCGTTACTTTTGGTTCACCTTGTATATATAAAAGATATTATCAGTATCCTAATGCGTTATTAACGTAAAATTATAATTGTGTATGTTTAAATTTTTGATTAATTTAAATTTAGATGTAATATGGAAATGGAAAAATGTGGAAAAAAATGTGTTTGTGAGTCCGCGACCTATCCTTCCGTTAAAATCACTGTTTTTCCAACTTTTTAATAAAGTTTTTCATTCCCCGTTTCTTTTTTAATTAAATCCGTCCGCCCGTGCGTTGTGTGCAAAAAGCGCCCCCACGCAAGCAGCCCCTGCCCCTTCGGACCTGGTAGCACGAGTTGGGCAACTTGGTGGCATCCAAGATGCCGTGCCAGGGATCGATGGGCACGGGCTTCCTGAACCTCAGCTGTTCGATGGGCGGCTTGGCGAAGGGAATCCCCGTGAAGACGTGCACTTCGCGACCCAGCACCGTCTTGGCCTTGCCCCGCACCAGGCCGCTGGTGGTCTCGACGACCAACGGATCGCTGTGAAAGTCTCTGGCTTGGGGCGGGCGCGTCGTCGTCTCCTCGCTGGGCCAGGAGTAGGCGCGGGCAGAAGCACTCAGCGACGCGACGACCACGATAACGACGACGACGACGATATTCAGAGCCATCTTGCAGCACCGCGTCTTCGGCTGGTTCACGTGGCCGCCATCGCCGGCTCGGCGCACCACTTCTAACAGGTGTCGGTTTCGAGCGCACACACAACTGCGGATCGCGGACACGACGACGACGCCTCTTCGACGACCTGCCGCGGACTGTGCGATGCCATGGCGGCGGCCGGCAGGCGTGCGCGCCCCGACCCAGACAAGGACTCGCGAGGAGTAGCACGGGACGAGGCACGGCACGAGTTCTCCAGCAAATTTACAAAAAACACTCAAATCTGATCCACAATCCTTTGATTTTTGATCAGACACAAGAAATCGTTTTGAGTTGATTAGCTACACTGGCCACCAAAATTACTAACCGCACAACTATATAGAATGCGATTTTTCACATTGAAATATTTTTGTTATTCTTTGTCGGATTTCGATGAATTTTTGTTTGGCTTGAAAAAAATACTATGTAGATCATTGTATTTAATTCAATAACATTTCTATATAGTTTTGTCTTCTAAATGTGATACTCCAATGACAAAGGCACTGTTTTTTTTACTTATTTTTATACTGAGCTGTGGTGTGCAACAGAGATACAAACTTAAGTTTTCACTGATTTTAGATTATTGCCCATTCTTTTCTGAATTATGTACCACATTTTTTATAATTTTAATTCTTGAGACATGAGAGATATAAACTTTCAAAAAAAGCATTACAATTTCGATTTCAATGAATGTATTAAGTAGGCCAAATTTGTCAAAACGTCAAAATAGGCGCATGGAAGCTTCCAATAGCACTACCCAACAATTTTTTTTTTAATATGATTGATCTATTGACACGTCTTTCAGGGTACATTAACAACCCTAATTACGAATTTGATAAGAAAAATTCTTCATCACGTACAGATTTTAAGTTATAGGAAAATAGTTTTCTCAAATTTCATCGTAAAAATTGTTCATTTCAAATAGAGTTTAATTAAATAGACGACGAAAGAAATTTATTTATTCACTAAACAATAACAATGTTGAAAGATGTATAAGATTCTAACATAAATCTGTTGTAGATGAGTTTTTTGCAAAAGCTGACTTTCTTTTGTAGTGTTTTAACTTCCCTTATCAGGAACCAGCAGTAATCCCTCATTATAGCTGGATCCCATCTCCCTTGGTACCTCTTTTCCATTGTCAATATATCCTGGTGGAACCTTTCCCCTTGCTCGTCACTAACGGCACCCAAATTTGGGAGAAGAAACTTTTAATGAGAATGGAGAAAATGAATTTTAAGTATTTCGTTTTTCGGCGATTTTGTCGAACGTACTTACATATGATATCTTAAAATGCCTAACTTTAAAATTTGACGTGCTATGGAATTTTCTTTATTATTTTTGAGTTTAGCACATAGAATTGAACAAAAAATAACTGTTTTCTTCTCAGTCTCTCAGCTAATGTAATTAACCAGGTCCAAGTTTCTCAGATTTTTTGTGTTCAAAGATGTAATTGTGCTCTTTTGGTAACATAAGCATTAATTTTCGGTTTTATTATTTTTTTATGTAGCCTACTTTCTGAACGAACATTATAAAAGCAACGTCTTTTTCAATGCTTAGTATCTCTGAGGCACCAGAAGATAAAATTTCGAAACAAATTGGTCCTCATTCAGAAAAAAACGGGCAATAATCTGAAATAAGTAAAAACTTAATTTTGTCTCCGTTGCACACTGCAGCTCAGTATAAAAAAAGTAAAAAAACAGTGCCCTCGTCTTTTAGGTATAATATTTACAAGACAAAACTAGAAATGTTATTGAATCAAATCACAATGTTTTGCAAAATTCGTTCTTTGAGCCGAACAAAAATTCGTCGAAATCCGACAAAGAATAACAAAATATTTGAATGTAATAAATTGCAAAAGTTTAGGTGTCCGGTTAATTTTGGCGGCCAGTGTATATAGGTTTTTAAAATTTTAGGTTTTAACTAAATCTTTTATTTTGTCATAAATTATCGAAGAATTGTAAAATTTAACAGGGTGTTATTGTTACAAATTTAAACAGGTGAAAGAATATTAATTTCTAAGACAAAAGTTTCCTATGAACATAGTTTAGTCAATTAGTCATGGGCATCTTAAACGGTAAAAAGAATTCAATATTTAATTTTTATCCTCTTTATGATCTGTAAGACAAATTGTAAAGTGATTTTACTCAAATACGGTAAGTTGTATCGAAAAAACGCAAGGGACCTCTTTTTTGTGAAAAACTATGGAATTTAAAATTCTGTGGTTGAAAGTAGCAAAAACCAACTGTCAAAATAGTTGGGGTACTTTTTACCCTAAACCCCCCAATTTAGGACGCTCCTGAGTAAAAATTTTGACATTTTATCTTTGAATATGTTTAGGTGTATAAAGGTTATCATTTGTACCAAATTTTGTATTTTATCTACAATGGTTTCTAAAATATTGGAGAAAAATCCATTAAAAAATGCACCTCTGTCAGAGGAAGTGGCTTCCTTATATAATATTTTCAGATACATGTTTATGGGAAACTTTTATCTTAAAATTAAATATTCTATGACCTCTTTAAATTTGTAACAATAAAAACGATACACCCTGTAAACAAATACGTGATTTATAAGAATATTCGTGAATTTTTCTAATTCTTATCACAACTTTCACTTCTTAGTAGCTGTTTACTTTCTGAGTAATTTAGTAGGAATATTTTAAATTCCAGAGTGCAATTACAGAGTATTTCAACAATAATATTTTTTCTGAAAACGTTTCAGAGGCGCGATTTCGTCATTTTCTGTCCATTTTGTCTCATTGTGTGTTTATTACGCTTCGCATAAAACAGCTTAAGTGAAAACATCGCAAAGAACAAAGTATGTGGCCTCAGGCCGGGTCTGTAATTAAGCGTCTCTGATCGTAAAAGCTCGTAAAAAACGTATCTGCGTAATTTCTCTTCTTCCAGCGTTGATCAGATTTGTCAAGCATTGGATCAAGCGAGACGTGCTGATTTAAACAGTATAATAGCCACTAATGAAGCTGATATAAGCAATTGGCTTTTCCTGCCCATCTACGCTAGAACAATCAGTAAACCCCACCTGCAACGCTACAACTCGACTACAACTAGTTTCTCGACTGTGACTGGAAAACTACACCAGCAAACGAGTAAATTTTCCCTCAACTGTGAGAAATAAAACGCTTGCTGTCTGCTACGGATGGTTTTTAGATAAACTTTCTCCGGATCTGTCAAATTTTTGAAGAGAAAGAAGCTTTCAAAGCAATAGCAAGTTTTATAATTTACCATCTTCAAGGCGTCTCAGTAATTAATTTATGATGTACAAAGCATACGTGAAAGCTTAGCGAAACTTTTAATTAACAATTTTTTGAGTCGGCAGTAAAAATGTTGAATTGGCTAAATAATCATGCTGGGCTGTACCACATTGTGTTTTAATTAACCTTTCATGAGCCTAAAAAATGCACTAAACAGCTAACTGGTTAACATTAAATTACATAAATGAGACAATAAACTCAGGATTTGTAAACCTACATGTGGATAAAGGAGAATGTCGGGAATTTTGTAATCTAATTAATAAAGTTGGGTATGTTATTAGAGAAACCGGACAATAATGCGAAACAATCTCAACACAATACACCTAATATAAGTTTACGAGTTTATTTTACGAAAATGGCCACTATACTACCGGGTCACTATTAATGTTTGTGACAAAAAAATCTACTGCCAACACTGAATTATTAGCAATCTTTCTAACTTGTTATATCAGAATGTTTTAGGTGACGGCTAAATATGCTGTCACCCGTTGCAAATGAATGACAACTGTCTATAAAAGTTTTACGTTTGAAAGTCAAGGTTGCCAAACTAAAGTTTTCAATTTGTCACCAACTTGAGGTAAAAAATCACAATCATTTACAGTCACTCGGTATAATAATTCTTTTTGTTTTATTTTTTTTTTAACTACAGAGTGATTCAAATTTTAAACTCAAAAAACAACAATCTTTCCAATTAGAATTAGATTCATGGAATTAGAAAACTAATTGATAAATGATAAAGTACTATAAAGATGTGATGTTTTATCAAGAATAAATTTTTTCGAAATTTTCTTTCTTTCTTATTTTTTAATATTTTTTTTTACATAAATTGCAATTTTTACAAAACAAAATCGCATAACTTATACAAACAAAATAAAATCTCGTTCTCAAAATACGATCACACATTTTCTATAAGCGTTTTATTTCATACTTTATATTCACCCTGTATAAGTACATAAATTGCATATGTAGATAGAAAATGAAGATATTGTAGGTATTACTGATTTTTAATGTGTTTGAAAGTTTTTGTTGAGATTTATTTGATTTTCTTTGTATACGTATCTCATAGTTTCGTTTAATGACGAAAAATATTCTTTGGTTAATATTTGATGATGATTTGGTGTTAATATTTTTTACTTTTTGTATTTTGGGCAGTGCGTTTTATTTTTACACCAGCTATTAATTAGGAATCGAAATTTTAAAGAGTTGAAGTGTAAAAAATATTTTTAAGCAATTAACAAAAGCATAATAACAGTGCACTCAATTTTTAACCATATATTATTTTGATTTTTGACATTTAGACCGGCCACTAATTACTTATCGACATTAAATATTAACGAAATATGTTATCGACAAAGTAAAACTTTAACAAACGATTGAATCAATACGAACTTTGCTTATTGTTACGATAGAATCATAATTCGTAAAATGTAACAACTGAACTTGTTATCGTTTAGTTAACTTTTGTAATTTAATCTAGTTTGCATAATAAAAAATTATATTTGTTCGGAAGTAATGGTAACATAACTCTAGAGACAACAGTCGCAGAAACTGTATAAATCAGTGCGAGTTAAATTGTTGATGTGACACCACACCGGTTATTTTTCCAATTTCCCTTTATCACGTCAAGCGTTGTAAATCGGCCCCTATAAAATTCCCCAATTTCCCGTATTCGGCACCTGATGATGAATTCCAAGCATATTTGAACGTAGCACCTAATCTAGAAATTCGTGCGTGGAATTTTCACCGATAAAATAATGTAAAACCGTCAAAGGACAGCGGACGACCAAACGACGGTTCTGCAACAGTCAGGTGCCTAGACAGCGAGCGTTTTCACAAACCTACAGGATACAAAATCAAT